GGCAAGATGCATTCTCTAAATAGAGCTGTGCTACCTGTGTTCAAGTTCCAACTTCCCTACCTGCTGGCTGTGTGTTCTTAAGAAAGGTGTTCAACCTCTCTATGCCATAATTTCCTCATGAATAAAGTGCACGTCATAATAGTATATGCCCCTGGAGGTTGCGCAGATTAATAAGGTCATTGTGAAAAGTGTGACTAAGTTATTATTATGAGGCAAACATTGTGCAGGACCCTATGGATGTGAAGATGAGTTGACAGACTAGATCCACACATGGAAAGCTTCAATGAGGTGATTTTTTTAATCTTCAGATCAAAAGTTTATGCAACTATTCTCCCAGCTACTTGGGAGGCTGAGGCAGGACAATCACTTGAGCTTAGGTGTTCAAGGCCAGCCTTGGCAACACAGGAAGACCCCATCAAAGGAAGGAAGGAAGGAAGGTAGGTAGGTAGGTAGATTGAGTTACCTCTTCACTTTGGACTGGGGTTGGTGAAGGCAGTCTGAAACCAAGGCACCTAGGTTTAAATTCATAAATTATGTGTACTTTGTAATCAACTGTACGACATTGGTGAGACATCCATACAGAGCTGAAGAATAGTTGAGGGTCATGATGATCTGCTGTCCATAGATTGGTTGAAGAGTCCTAAGTACAATAGGAAAGGTACCCGTCATGGAGATTTTTGCATGACTTTAGAGTAACTGAGAGAAGGGAGGTCACCAACAGTCTTAGTATCTGTCAAGGGCCAAGTACTCTTTGAAATAGTTTACTTCCCTTAGCTCACTGGATGCTTCTACAGGCTGACACTGTACTTGAACTTATCCTCATTTTACAAATAAGGATATTGAGGTTCAGAGAGGTAAAATAATTTGCCCAAGGTTACACAGCTGCTATGTGGTAGAGCAAGAGTGCCAAGGGTTTCCTTCATAAGAATTGAGGCTGGAGATGTAGCTCAGTGGTACAGCACTTGCCTAGCCATGCTTGAGGCCCTGGATCAAATCCCCAGCATACTGGGGGTGGGGGAAACTGTATTCCAAGGCCAAAATCAAAGAAATAAGAGCTATAACTACTATGTTCAAATTCCTCCAACTTTCTAAGGAGTATTGACTATAGCTGCTCTCCTTTGGTATAGCCTAAGGTCTAACTGGTTTTGTTTTTGTTTTCATTATTTGCACCAAGAGATTCCAGAAGTAAAGCATTACTTTATAACAACTGCAGTCTTAAGTCTTAAGAAGAAATGATTTATCGATCCACAGAGACAACCTTTCTTCAATAGATTTTTAATTAAAAATCATACTCAGGCATATAGCTTTCCGAACTGTGTGAGATTTTTGTCTTGCCGTGGGTGACAACCAGCAAGGTGGTTTTGATGCTGAAAGCCTTTTGAGGCAACAGAACTAGGACAATAGGATTATTGAGGGAGTCATTCACTCTCCACTTCTCATGTAACCCTAAGGCAGAAAGGGTTTCATTTCTCACAGGAGGAATGGAGCAGAAAGAAACCCAGTTAGGGAATTAATAGGACAGCCTTTCCCTTTAGCATCATACTCTGACCAATGGGAGAGAGAGACATAACAGTAGGGACCCTAGCCGGAGAGCCACACTCAGCACTGCCAGGGAAAGTAGAAGGGATTCTGCATGTTGGAGACCCTTCCAGGGACACAGGCTCCACATTCCAGGTAACTCACATCCACCAGAGGGCTCCCTCAAGCCTCACGTACTTTCTCTGTTAGGAAGGACTGAGCTCCTTCTCTAACTCAGCACCACCATCAGAATGGGGAGTTACAGGGCTAAATATAATAACGGATGTAAAGCTCCTGGCTTGTGGTTAAGTAATAAATGTTAAGTGTTCCTTTGTTGCCCACTCAAGTAAGCAGCACTAGAAAATAAGTATGTTTATCTGGAGTGTTGGCTGGCTCCTCAGGACAGCAATCCTCTGAGTTCACAGCTTGTCCCCTGTGATTCAGAGCTTGCTGGCTCTGACAAAAAAGAATTCTGTGTTCCCAACCTCCCCAAAGCACTGAACTTATGCCCTCTGTTGATGCTGCACGTCCAAATGTGCCACAAAGGCACAATTAGAGAAGTTGCTTTGCAACTTTAGGCTGGAAGGTGACGGGGGTGGTGTTTCCAACTCTCAAACATAGTGACCTGAAACCTACCAGAGGTCATTGTCTCAGACTAGAGGAACAGCACGTCACAGTAGAGAGAGTGCTGGTCTAGAAGTCCAGAGCTCTGGATTCGCTTCCTACCTTCTCTATCTCTTGAGTGACCTTGAGCAAGGTCTTATGTAACTAGACCTGTGTTTCCACATTTAAAAAATGGAATATCAGATTAATAGTTAATCTGTAGAACACCTCCCTGTTTGGTGGTTGCATGCTGATATTATATTCTATCAAGGCAGGCTGGGATGCAGCTTGGTGGTACAGCGCTTGCCTAGCATGTGTGAGGCCCTAGGTTCGATCCCAGCACCAAAAAAGAAGAAAAAAAAAAAAAAGACATTTCATCAAGGCCAGATAGAATCCAAGAAGGATGGATTACATACACTGCATGTGAACTTTATGTTTTCCTATTGGCTTATTCAGGTTTTTGCCCCATGGATCCCATTGGACCAATTGGGTCTGTTTTCCAATTTGGTTAAAAGAGACCAACTGCTGAGAGAAGACAATTCTTATCTGAGTTGACATTTCATAAAAGTATACGCCACAGAAACCAAATTTACTTATCTAACCACTTAATCCCACCCTCACTTTTTCACTGATCTTTTCAACTCTAAAATATGGGATAGGGAGGGGGAAATGCAAGGGTCTGAGCCCAGGCCCTTTACTACCGTCTGGGGGCCTTCACAACCCTTCTGATCCACACCTGCATTTACGAAGTGGCTGTGACCAGCTGGATTTTCATAGCTCTCATTATGCAAGTTCATTGACCTAAGATAACCTTCCCCCGAGATAGTGGGTTGTCTGTGAAGGTCAGTCAGAGGGAGGTGATAAGGGCTATGTGTGCATGTGTTTTTGTTAGTGGTCTCTTTCCTTAGTTGTTAGAGGGTGACTTAGTTGGCAGGAATGGGAACTTTGTGAACTTGGTTAACTCTTGGGAAAGGCCTACCTCCAGTGTAGGCCGCCAAGAATGGAGTGAGGGACAACCAAGGAAATGGTCTTCTCTAACAAGCACTTGCTTTTCTTTATATTGTTTTTCTTCTCTGACAATGGGCACATTTATGGAGAACAGCTTAGAACATCATGCTTTAAAAACCACTTGCTTATTTTAATTTACATAACAGGCCTAGGAAGTGCTAACTTTAGGGAGAGACCGAATGTTTGCCAGGGTCCCCCAGCAACATGGCATTCACCTGGTGCACTGATCAAGGTTTAACATCCAGTCTTGGGCCTTGTGGTCCCAAAACCGTTCCCAGAGGAGACTTGCATTGCTCAAGCTCCTAGAAATAGCAATATAAAAAAAAGAGATGCTTTTTTGTAAACCAATTTATAGCAAGGATGCAGCTGTGGGGCCAACCAGAAGGCTTGAGTCAGCAAACTGAAACATTCTCTCCCAGTGTGCTAATTGTTTCAGAAGTGAAATTATAATCAGAAATCCAATTTATTCACTGAAAGTGAAAAATACAAATTTTAAGTAAACTAGACGTTAAGTTAGCCCAGCCTCTTCTAACAGAAGAACGACCCAGGAAACTAAGTTCTTAGGTTTCTTGCTGACCAAGGGCCAGAGCAAGGGGCATTTGCTGTTCCCAAGGTGTGTCTTTCAGCAAAGCCTGCCTCAGGCCACCTCACCCTTGGAAGGGAAGGGGAAGCCCTGACAAAAGAAAAAACTGGGCTGCTGAAATCTATGGACCACATTTCTCTCCCTGCACCAGGCCAAGATGGGCACTGCTAGTGTTAAACTTGACAACCTCCCTTCCTGTGCTTCTGTCTCCCATGGTCCTTATGCAAAAATTGCTGCAATACTAATAACTCGTTTTCTGCTTGCTTTCTGGGATTACTCCCAAATGATCTCAGTTGGAATTTTTGCAGCTCCAAAACTTGTTAGTCACACATTTATGAACAGTTTCTTAGCACAGATGGCTAATTTGATTCACTAAGTATAGATTTTACTAGTTTAGTTCTAGAAAGTCTTGTGTCTGATGTTTTGAGCAGCATTGCACTTTCTATATAAAAAGTTAAACATATGTGTGTGTTCCACAAATTTAGAAATGGAAGGCTGGGGGTGTGGCTTAGTGGTAGGGCACCTGCCTAGCAATCGCAAGGCCCTGAGTTCAAACCCCAGTACCACAAAAAACAAAAACAAAAACCTAACAAATTTAGCAACAGAGATCCAAAAGGACTAAGTGTCTTTCCCTGGGTCTGTGTGATTGACGGAGCTTGAACTTAAGTCTAGCTCTTCTGTGTTCAGATTCCTTGCTTATTCCATTAGATGTGTTGAGTTGTTTACTCTTAATAAGTTTCATTTTGAAATAAGAAAGGAAAATCAATGTTTGGAAGCATTATCTTTTTAAAATGTTGGCTGATTTTTTTTTCTAAATGGCAATTGTGGGTCATTGCATAAAAGTGTGTAGTAGGGATAAGAAGAGATAAATAAAAAGATCACTCAGGGCCAGGGGCAGTGGCTCATACTTATAATCCCAGCTACTCAAGAAGTAGAGATTGGAAGGACCATGGTTCAAGGCCACTCTGAGCAAAAAGCTAGCAAGATCCCATGTCAACCAATAAGCTGGGCACAGTAGTGTGCACCTTTGGCCCTGGCTATGTAGGAGGATCGAAGTTTGAGGCTGACCTAAGCAAAAGGGAAACCCTATTAGAAAAATAACAAAAAGCAAAAAGCTAGCAGTATGGCTCAAGTGGTAGAGTACATGCCTAGAAAGATCAAGGCCCTGAGTTCAAACCCCAGTTACATATACACACATACACAAATTCACTCAGATATAGCCTCCTGCAGTAGGAGCCAAGAGGTCCAGGTGGAGAGCAAATCAAATAGTGGATGTGTTTTGTTGCAGAATCTGAGTGTATCAGAGGCAAGAGGAAAAATCCTCCACTACCGGGTGACCTTGCAGGAGGTGACAAGGAGGAAAACCACACTACAGAACATCACAGGACACACCTCCTGGACCTGGGTGGTTCCCAGAACTGGGACTTGGACTGTGGCTGTGTCTGCAGTCAACTCGAAAGGCAGCTCTCTGCCCACTTGCATTAATGTAACAGACCTGTGTGGCACAGGTAGGTACCAACTTTCCTTCACCATCGCCTGTAGGAAACTGTGTCTGACCATCTCCCATCTCCTATAGGCCCAGTCTAAGGCCTGGCACAAGTAGCCAGGAGTTTAGACTTTGGAGTCAACAGCTGTCTTTTCCAGTCAGCCTGTAGTGGCTTTGGACAGTGAATTAACACCTCTGCACTTCAATTTCCTCCTCCCTGAAGCAGGAACTATGTGCTTGTCTTGCAGTTCACCATGAGATGAAATACATAGCAGGCACTTAAACATGAGTGAAGGAAATATGAGTTACATCAAATTGAGCACTAATAGTTTTAATTAGATTAATTTTGTAAAAGCAAGAATATTTATTGCTAAATTCTAGATAAAACATCTTAGACTTACATTTAAGACATATTTTAAGACCAGTAATATTTAAATGAAATTCTGACTGTCATAGAATAATGGTAAAATTCTGCTCTACCATAGCTGTTTGTTACACAAATTTAAATATGTATCCCATTATCTTCATCAAGAAGATGTGTAAAGTCTCACATCTATAGTCATAGCCTCTGAAAATTAACTTCCAGAATAAAAACCTGTGATTAGCCAAGAAAATGGATGGTGATGCTGCTTCTTAAGACTTATATTCTAAAAGGATTTGATGTCAAGATCATTCAAAAAAATGCCTAAATAGAATAAAACTCTGCAATTAGATCCTGTTTTACAATTCAGTGTGATAATTTTATATACAAATGGGTCTAGAAAGCATCATTTTGAGGAAATTTCTACCAAAACAGTATTATCTGATATACATGGTTAAATCTTGGTTATATATCTTTTCAGTCATATTTCTGAAAACACACTGAATAAAATAGTAGATGAGATGACGAGGAGAAAACACAAGTAAACATGGGTATAACCTTGAGTTGTCATCTGAGCTAGGAATTGCTACTAGGAGTTAGAAATGTTCTTACCATCCTCTCGCATGAAAGAGTTCACAGATAGATTGCCCAGGGTGGTGTGACAGCTTTGTGACATCAGGACTCCAGGCTCCTCTTTCTTTCCTGCTGCCAAGCCTGGCTTTCTTCCCCAGGATGGAATTGGTCCAGGATGGCTGCCGGAGTGCTAACTGTTTCCTTCTAGACAGCAGCAGAGAAGGAAGGAGGGACTCAGCCTCATTCCAGGAGCTATGCCCTCTCACACAGTAACACTTGCACTTCTTGGCCTTCGCTGGTCACCTGGCCAAACCCAGCTGCAAAGATATTTTAGGCAGTGATATTCCCTTGCTTAGGAAGATGAGGTAAAGGTGTTTGGTAAGTAGTTGGTAATCTCTCCCTCCTTTGGGGGAGGAACCCGAGGCAGAAACATGAAGGAAAAAATAAGCAGAAGCCCTGCAACTTTATACATCATAAAGTTACAGGCCTCATGCCTGTAATCTCAGCTACTCAGGAGCATCAAGGCTAGCCTGGGCAAAAAGTTAATAAGATCCCATCTCAATCAATAATCCATGTGTGGTGACTTGCACCTGTAGTCCAATCTACTCGTGAGGACATAGGATCTTGTTCTGAAGCCAGCCCCAGGCAAAGATGCGAGACCCTACCTGAAAAATGACTAAGTCAAGAAAGGACTGGAAGCTGGGCACAAGTGGCTCATGCCTATAATCCTAGCTACCCAGGAGGCAGATATCAGGAGATTCACAGTTTGAAGTCAGCCCTGGGAATATAGTTCACAAGACCTCATCTTGAAAATACCCATCACAAAGAAGGACTGGTGGAGTGGCTCAAGTGGTAGAGCACCTGCCTAGCTAGTGTGAGGCCCTGAGTTCAAACCCTAGCACTGCCCAAAAAAGTGATAAATGAATCTTTTTTTCTTCAATGGATAAGCATTACACATGCACTTTTTAAAGTGAATTCTGTAGTAGTACTCTGCTGGTTTTTAAATGTAATGTATCAAATTGGTAGTACACACCTATGATCCCAGCACTCAGGAAGTGAAAGCAGGAAGATCGTGAATTTAAGGCCAGCCCAGGCTACAGTGTGAGACCTTGTCTCAAAAAAGTAATATGTAAGAATACCTTCCTTTTCTAACCTCACTGCAAATGGGTCACAATACATCTTGTTAATTTTATGGTCCCATTCCAGGTCCCTTATTGAGATTTGGTAACAATATCTCAAAGTGACACATTCATCATTTTAGAGTTCACTTTTACTTTATTCATTCAGGTCAGTTATTGAATATTTAAGGCAAATTGAATCCAGTCTTAGATTTAAAAACAACTGAGGTCAAGTTCTCCAGTTACCTTTATCCAAGTGGGAGGAATGGTGTAAAAACCAGTAACTATAGTAGGGTACAGTATAATACGTGTGAGGTTGGAGCATGCATAAGGAGCTGTAGGAACAGAGAAAAGCTGATACATGGGCTTGGAGAGGAGGTGACATTTGTACTAAGTATGGAGAGACTAATTGGTGTTAGCCAGGAAGGGAGTGTGGGTATGAGAGTTTGTTATAAAGTCAGAGCTGAGCAGGCACAAAGAAGAACTAGGGGGTGAGGAAGAATTTGAAGACAAAGGAGAGAAAGAGGATAGTGGAATAAAGTCAATGTGGAAATGGGAGGTGATGGTACTCAGTGACAAAAGAGGGAAGAGGAACACTTCATCCCTTGAGAATGAACAGATGAAAACTGGTCCATTGAATGGTAAGGATGGAGTCAATGAAAAGAACATGTATTGAGGTAAAGCAAGACATGAGGCAATTCAGAGCCAAGCTGTAGCTAGGAGTGTCCTGGAAACATTGGAATCTCAAAATTACATGTGCAATATGCCTATTACCTAATCTAAGACCACATCTGAAGCTTCCAATACAAGTCGTGCTCATCCCAGAATGACCTGGAGGACAAATTGGCCAATTATATGGTCTTGTTCCTCGAGGGCTTTTGTCTCACATACATTCTGAACGATCTATAGGAATAGAGTGACATCATTTTATGCCTTCCTCTCCTTCAGGATACATTGTTCACATGTGTGTTCCTTCTTGAAAGGGAAACATAATGTCCAACATTATTTATGTGGCATTATGCTGATTTTAAGAGACTCAGAACAAAATTATTGTTAAAAGGCACCTGCCCTAGCCTTGCAAATCAAGAAAATTAAATGTGTGCTAAACCTACCATTCCATATGTAAAATACAGACCCGGTGACTGTGCTCAAGAACTCTTGCAACTCTAGAAGAATGAGAAGCCAATGTAGTCACAAACAGTGGCCCACACAGATATCAGAGACTGAGGCCCTGGGAGGTAAAGTAGTTTAGTCAAGATCACATATCTAGTGGCAAATAGTGGCAGAGAAGAATGGAAAAGCCAGGTTGCCTGTCTGTTAGGTGGGCACTTTTTCAAATATCCTGTGAACCTTAGAACTCCATACAGAAGTTTTCAATAAACATGGAGATGGGAAGTTCTGTGACTGAGGCTAAAGGAGTAATTTTTAAAGTTGACAGGGAGAAGTGAGTTGTTAGCGAGTCTTGAAGGAAAGAACGTGTCTTGGCAAACATCCTAGGAGAGGAAATTCCAGGCTGGTTCCTGGCAAGTATAGTGACTCAGAGGCTGAAGGACCTGTGCCATGCCAAGTTGATTTGCTTAGTTAATACCAGCGAAGGCAATGATGAGAAAGGCACTTTGGATATTTTATCCCAACTCCTGACAAAGAGTCTTATAAACTGAGGTGCTCAATATATATTTACTGAATGAATAAATTTCATTCTCAAAAAAAAAAAAAACAAATTTCATGATATAAACATCAAGCCTAATCAAGTAAAGACAAAGGAATAAACCACCTCTGGGGAATTCCAGTTTCTAACAAAGATGGCCAGTAATAATCCACGGCTCCTATTACCAAACCTGTAGATGCTGTGGAAGAGGTAGGGCATGAGTAGCTGAGCTACTAGTGGGGAACAGTGAAGAAGGGGGAAGGACCAAAGAGCTTTTTCCAGTTATGCTCTTTCTTTCTTGCCTGGTATGATCATTATCCAAGCATCTCTATGATGGGGCAGGAAAGCCCAGGGAGCAGGACAGAGTAATTTCAAGGAAGTATTGGACCCTAACTGATGGGGAGAGATAGTAGCAAAAAGTGCCAGTGAGCTGGCGGTCCCTGGCATTTTCTCCTGCACCCATCCCATGACCCTGGCAGTTACAAAAGAGAGTTACTCCCTCATGAAAAGCAATTCCTGAGGCAGAAGCATTGGCAGGTTTTGGAAAGCCAGGTATGACTAACCAGGTCAGGACAGGTGGAGCACAGCTTGCATCACCACAGGGTGTCCAGCTTGGAACTTTCCACCCTGAAAAGCTCGTCCTCCCTCCCTGGACTTACCCAAGGGAACAAGGAACCAAACTAAACTAAGGTTTCACTTCTTTTCCCATAGAAAAATAAAGCCAAGGCTGCTGATAATCCAGAACAGTAAGCATGTTCTCAAAAGAAAAAAAAAGGTTATAACAATATTTTAAAGCCCAATAAAAATGGTTGATAGGGTTAGAGATGTAGCTCAGTGGTAGAGCACTTGCCTGGCATGTATGAGGCCCTGGATGCAATCCCTAGCACTGAAAAAGAAAATAGAAAAATAAGGAAAGTTGTCCAAATTGTTTTATGGGGATAATTTAACTTTGTTAGTAAACAAGATAAAGACAGTACAAGAAAAATTATTGGCTACGTCACTTGTGAACATTGATGTATAATCTAAATGAATTACTAGCAACTTGAATCCAATACATGTATTAAAAATTAGTACCAAGCTGGAAGTGGTGGTTCAGAGGTGGAGGAGGAATAATCATAAGTTTAAGGCCAGCCTGGGCTACACAGTATGACCCTGTCTCAAAAACAAACAAAAAAACCTCCACAAAATCATAGTTGTTTAAATTCAGTTTAAAATCAGTTTTCAACCCAGTTTCCAGTTGAGCACGTGAAGCATGTAGAAGTCATCACTCTGTCCTAAATCAAGTAAAAGCTAAACAAACTGAAAAATCAATAATTTTTCTT